TTGGAAAAACTTCTTATGAACTTCGATTTGGACATCAACCCAAAGTATCACATTTGCGCATTTTTTGATGCAAATGCTTTGTCTTGAAATCTGGAAATTTGAATAAGTTTGAGGCACGTTCTACAGATGGATTGTTTCTTGGTTACCCCGCACACACTCGTGGCTATCGTGTACTTATTTTGGAGACTAACAAAATCGTTGAGACTTGCGAAGTTTCTTTTGATGAGGCTAGTCCATGTACTAGACCCGATATTTCAGGTACACTGTCACAGGTTCAGGGGGAGGATGGTCGTATTTTCGAAGACGAGAGCGACGACAACGACGGCGACGAGGTCGGCTCGGCCGGTCAAACCAGGCGCCAGGCCGGTCAGACCGCCGGCACACCTCCGGTCAGACCGGCACAGGAGGTGCGGTCAGACAGGCCAGGGTCGTAGGCTGAGGGTTCTGTTGATGCTGTTTGAGATGGTCCTCCGGAAATTACTACTTCGACCAGTAATGATACAGAACGTGGATCAACTTCAGAAGTCACAGCTCCTTTGCACATTCAACGACGACATCTGCCGGAACAAATTATTGGTAATAAAGGTGAGCGGACTACAAGGTCTAAGGTAACGACTCATGATGTTTGTGCAAATTCCGCATTTGTTGCTTCTTTTGAACCCAAAGATGTGTCACATACATTAACTGATGAATCGTGGATTAACGCCATGCATGAAGAACTTGAAAATTTTGAGAGAAACAAAGTTTGGACTTTAGTTGAACCACCTTCTGGACATTATATTATTGGAACCAAGTGGGTTTTCAAAAATAAACAAAATGAGGATGGTTTGATTGTGAGAAATAAAGCTAGACTTGTTGCTCAAGGTTCTACTCAGGTGGAGGGTTTGGATTTTGATGAAACTTTTGCTCCTGTTGCTAGAATTGAGGCAATTAGACTTTTGTTGGCTTTTGCTGCTTCAAAAGGTTTTAAATTATATCTAATGGATGTGAAAAGTGCTTTTCTAAATGGTTTTATACAGGAGGAAGTTTATGTCAAACAACCACCAGGTTTTGAAAATCCTAATTTTCCCAACCATGTTTTTAAATTGTCTAAAGCTTTATATGGTTTGAAACAAGCTCCTAGGGCATGGTATGATAGGCTTAAGAACTTTTTGCTTGCAAAAGGTTTTACAATGGGAAAGGTTGACAAAACGCTTTTTGTTCTTAAGCATGGTGATAATCAACTTTTCGTTCAGATTTATGTGGATGATATCATCTTTGGTTGTTCGACTCACGCTTTGGTTGTAGATTTTGCTGAGACTATGTGCAGGGAATTTGAGATGAGCATGATGGGTGAGTTATCGTACTTTTTGGGATTGCAAATTAAGCAAACTCCTCAAGGTACTTTTGTGCATCAAACGAAGTATACGAAGGATCTTTTGAGATAGTTTAAGATGGAGAATTGCAAGCCAATTTCAACACCAATTGGTTCTACAGCTGTGTTGGATCCTGATGAAGATGGTGAAGTTGTTGATCAAAAGGAATATAGAAGTATGATTGGATCTTTGTTGTATCTAACTGCTTCTAGGCCAGACATACAATTTACTGTGTGTTTGTGCGCACGCTTTCAAACTTCTCCTCGTGCTTCACATTGTCAAGCGGTCAAGTGACTAATGAGGTATTTGAATCATACACTTGAGTTTGGAATTTGATATTCTACTTCATCTTCTATATGCTTAAGTGGATATTCCGATGCTGATTTTGGTGGTTGTAGAATTGAGAGGAAAAGTACTAGTGGAACATGTCATTTTCTTGGTACATCATTGATTGCATGGTTTTCTAGGAAACAATCTAGTGTTGATCAATCAACTGCTGAATCTGAATATGTTGCTGCTGCTAGTTGTTGTTCACAGATTCTTTGGCTTTTATCTACTTTGAAAGATTATGGTCTTACTTTTGAGAAACTACCTCTCTTTTGTGATAATACTAGTGCTATTAACATTGCTAAGAATCCTGTTTAACACTCACGCACAAAGCACATTGATATTCGTTTTCACTTTTTGAGGGATTATGTTGAGAAGGGAGATGTTGAATTGCAGTTTTTGGACACAAAGTTGCAAATTGCTGATATTTTCACTAAACCTTTGGATTCTAATCGCTTTGCTTTTCTTCGTGGTGAATTGGGCATAATTCATCATTTTGGCATGATTTGAGGGGGAGTTTGTACCTCATGGTTTTATCAAGAAATAATATGACAATGAAAAAAATTGAGAAAAGAGAGCTTTGTTTATGTATATGGTATTTTCTTGTGCATGCTAGCAATACTTTGAAGGTTTATTTGTCTCTAGCATAGCTTGTATGTATTCTAGTCTTTTCATGAGGTTTAGATTTTGCTTTTAAGGGAGATGATGCATGACACTTAAATTCTATACTTGAATTAAGCAAATATGCAATGTTGATGCTAGCATATGGTTTGATTTATAAATGCTTTATATATATATGCTTTATTGAATTGTTATTCCTCAAATAGCTTTAATTGCTCATTGTGAAAAGAGAATAAAAAATATGAAAAAAATGAATACCGAATCCTTGGAAACAGTCTTCACGACGAGGACGTATTCGATGTGAGCAAAATAATGGGTATCGAATCCCTAGAAACAGTCTTGACAACAAGGACGTACCTGGAATAAAAGAGAAAAATATGAGCAAAAAGGCTCAAGAAAAGAAAAAGTTAAAAATATTCTCTTGGTTATTTTGTGCTAAAGTTTATTTGAGAAAGAGTGATAAATGCAATAGGTATATGTGTTTAGTGTTTATTTTTCAACCTATGTGCTTGTTAAGATGTTGATTCAAGCTAAATTGTAAAATCTTTGGTTCATGGTTATACTTTAATGCATGCTTGTTATATTATAGATGGGTTCATCTTCTTTTTATTGCAACACATGACTTGATATGTTATATGTATGCTAAGCTCTTGAACATTAATGAACATAATTCCTATGCTTGATGAAATCATTGTCAAAAGGGGGAAAAGTTATGTGAAAATTTTTGGATTTTTGGGAGAAGCAAGGTGAATTTTGTTATTGAGAAGAGCATGTTTTTGGTTCATGAGGGAATTTCTTTCTTTTAAAAAGGGGGAGAAGTTTTCTTTTGGATTTTTTGAGCACGATGTGTATATTTGTACGAAGTGTGCTTTTTACCACTTTTGTTTATATTTTTCCAAACATCAAAACATTTTTAATGGGTTTGCAAATGTGTTCATCAAGGGGGAGATTGTACAATCAAAGGTGCTTTTGATTATTATTCTGCGATGAACAATTGGGCATTGGAGATTATTGGTTTTGTTATTTGGAATTTATTCCTGAAGTGGTTTTGGAGATGATTGGATTCACAGGTGATCGCAGGATTCATTATTTCATGTGACCGGTCAGACCGGACTCTGGTAGCCGGTCAGACCGGCGTGTAATGCGTAGTCAGAACGGCGCAGCCCGCGGTCTGACCGGCCGACACACTGTCGGTTTCGGTTTCGAGTTGTTTGTTTGGATATCCGAGTTTATTTCATGATTATGGCTTCTAAATGGATACTATACGTTTGTAATACTGTTGTTTGCTACTAATGAGTCAAGTTGGAGATAGCTTGGTCTCGGAATATGGTTTCTTTGTTTATTTCATGTGTAGGTGACTCGATGTCTCGGGAGAGTATTTGCGGTGATGGACCGGGAGTCGGCTTGGGGATAAGACGACGTTCGTGGTGGTCAGAGATCATGCGGTATACTAAGGCTAGAGTTGATGCACGTGGTTGATGGAGATTCCATATGGCATACGATAGAGGTATTGTGTGCATATGGGATGCGGAGTCGAATTTGGAAGGAGTCCAAATTTGGTATGATTGGTTATGTAAAGTTTCTTTCTTGTACTAGTGGGTTTCCTAAGGTGTTTATGACTCCTAGTATGAGTTTGGTTCGTGGCTTTAGGCTGCCTACCTCATGTATAAATAGAGGGGGAGCGTGAGGCTTCCCTGTATCGCTTTGGAGAGCAATTGAGTTGAGTTTTGAGTTAGGGTTTCGAGTTTAGTCGAAATTTTTGTAAGGAGTGTTGTTGGTGTACTTTGTAAACACAGAGAGAATCAATAAAGTCGTCATCCACTTTAAGAGTTCTTCAATTTGTGTTTACCAGGTTTCGGCAGTCTAACCGGCAATCTATCGTCGGTCAAACCGGCGGCACGCGGCAGTCAGACCTGCGGCATACGGGTGGTCAGACCGGCGGCATCTACTCGGTCAGACCGGTAGATTAATCTCGGTCAGACCGACTTCCGTCGATTTCGAGGGTAACTTTTATTTCCGCTAAAAGTTTTCGGTTTTTGGTATACCAACCATTCACCCCCCTCTGGTTAGCTTAGTTCTTGTGATTCGATCCTACACGTTGCAACGGGAAAAAATAATAATAACCATTAATCAAGTTCAATTTTTGTGATATGAGCCCTTAAAAAAACATTTCTTCACTTAGAGAAAAAAATGTTGGATTTTCATACAAACTGAGTCCAATTTTAACAATAAGAATCAGTAGGAAAAGAATCAACTACGCATTCCTGGTTTCACCACCCGAAGAAGGGGATATTTTCGCCTTTGGCTTTGAAGTGAAGAAGACAAAAAAAATTCATGCAAGCTTCTACGTAGATGGGACTGTTAAGCGCAATTCGAATTTTCCATCATTATTTATTGGGACAATTTTGTTTCTACCCCTACTTTGATGTCCAATATTGATTTTACCCCTACTTTTAGGGTTTTCATTTTTTACGGAAGTGAGTAGGACCAGACTTAGTGCGGTGAAGAATTGGACAGAAAAGGACACGATGAATTTTTAAATTATTGATTGACCCTTTTACCCCTAGGAAATATCCATGTACTACTTGTGGACCTCCAGGATCAGGCTCTCGGCGTCGACTCTTCCCCTCTCGAACCCGAATCCCCATTGTGAAACAACGGCAGCAGTAATGACCGTGGGTAGGTGGTGGCGGCAGCTTAGGCATCGCGAGGAAGCCTTGGCAGGTAGGAGGACAATGGTGGCGGCTTGACGCAAGTAGGTGGTGGTGGCGGCTTGGCGCAGGGAGGAGGCGTGGCTGCTCGGCATGTCGAGGAGGCGACGGCGACGGCTGCTCGGTTTGGAGAGGAGGCAATGTCGCCGGCTGCTCGGCCGGGCGGGCGGAAGGTGGCGGCGGCGGCGACGACCGTGCGTCTAGTTGGGGAGAGGTGATGGTGGTGGCTCAGCGCGGAGAGGTGGTGGCGGCGTCTCGTCGTGAGGAGGTGGTGGCAGCGCCTCGGCACAGGTAGGTGGCGGCGCGTCTCTGTGAGAGGGGGAGGCGATGACGATGGCTCGACGCGAGGAGGTGGTGGCGGCGGCGTCTCGGCGTGGAAGTTGGCGGCGACCTCTCGGTCAGAGGAGGAGGTGATGGCGATGGCTTGGCGCGGGTTGGCAACGGCAAGTCGGCGGCGGTGGCCCGACCATGCAGTCATGAGTAGACAACGTTTGCGACAAGCTGGAGGAGATTTGCATGACTTTTGTTTGTTTGTTTCTTTGAAGATGTCAAATTTTCAAGCAAAATTTTGTTGATATTTGTAAAGATTTATAAAAATTGCAAGCTTCATCTGCTAAATGTGGGCAAATTCTCATTCGATGAACAAAATAGGGGAAGTGTGCAACATGAGTAAGGGTATAAATGTCTTCTTGCCAAGGATTTAATACCGTTAATTTGTCCATCCAAAATAGGGGCAAAATTTATTATCGTTTCAAAAAAACAGGGGCAAAAGCGAAAACCTAAAAAACATGGGCAAAATCAATATTGGACATCAAAGTAGGGGCACGAACGAAATTGCCCCTTATTTATTTCATTTGCATTATGCACAACATGGCAAGAGATAATGTACTACCTACAAGATGCAACATGGTATCTTACCATAGTACTAACAAAAAAAATATAAAGATGAAATAAGAAGGAGGAACAGAAAATTCGGTTATGCTTGTGCTCAATCAGCAGTAATCGCACAGAGATATCATGCCAAAGTCTCATGTTTGGGCACAATGAGTTGGATTTTCTTACTGACATAGTACCAAAATTTTTTATTTGCATGTTTTATCAATCCTATGAAATTGATGATCTATAGTCCAATAAGACCAGATTTCAGGAGTGCACCCAGTCATAAAAAATCCAAATTTTGTGTAAATCTGATAGATATCTCCAAAACTGTTGGGTTCTTTTAGGAACTAAAGACATTCGGCAGAGGTCTGGTGAAATGGTGATATGAAATCAATGGGCGGAAAACCACACTGTAGGCTCTGCAAAAACAAAGAACAGGCACCAAAATATGACTATATTCGGTGAAGAATATTCATCAACAGTAGTACTCCAGACGAATACTGCAAAGAAAATGCCAACAATTTAGTTATCAAAGTTAAATAATGCTAGATCTCACAACAGAATACTATGAAATATAGCAAATCCAAGTGCTAACCTCTATTTGGACAGGAGGCAAAGCATTTTATTGATGAGTCAGATCTTTTTATGTCGCTAGTAATGTCATTAGTAGCTTATTTCTTCAGAAGAAAAACAACTAAACCGTTATCAAGGGTGCGTTTGTGCAGTAGTTGTAAGATACTAATCATCGATTGTCATTTGGGGAATGAATCGACGAACCTGAAGTACTGGGTTTCTTTTCACACTACAAACGCAGATGCCTAAGAAGCAGCTGAGTAGTCAATATTTTTTGTATGACAAGAGAAAATGAGTACAGCACATTAATCATTATAAACCAATAAAAATTGTAACTGTACCCTTTCATCCTTTTATTTTGCACCATTGTTAAGCATCATGTCAAGCACCAAGAATAATTTCTTCACTTTGGATCAAACCACCCAACATAGTGGTGCCACTGAAAGCGTCTGGTAGCAGCACATGGGATCAAATGGAAGCATGTGAAAATTTTGCTCACATGAGGATAATATATTCGAATGGTTAGAAGTGCTTCAAAAAATGTGCTGCAAAATGCCAACTGACCACAAAGGGCATTGAAATTCTACGAGGCAGTTCTAGAAATACCCTGTGAGCAACTGAGCATACTGCTGTATGCTGCTCTTCCTCCAATTTTTTTTTCCTCTGCTCTTGCCGAATGAGTTGACTGGATTGTCTCTTCATCTTCCCATGCCTTGCTCTAGGCTGATGAGCCAGCAGCTACTGCCAGCCACCTCCAGACTGCTCAGCTGTGCAGCCGTGCGAGATCTTCCTGAATTGCCCCAGCTGCTCAGCGCCTTGGCCACATTTGCAATTTAAAATGGCAAAGGCAGAACGCAAACTGCTGATTGGACTTGGGCTGTACCGCATCTTAGGCTCCATTTCAGGCCGTGTTTAGTTTCTCCTGTTCCTAACTTTCCATCATATCATATCACATTAAAAACTTTTCTACACACATAAACTTTTAACTTTTTTTTCCAAACTCCTAACTTTTTTCAAACTTCCAACTTTTTTCAGGAACTAAACACATCTGGCCCCTCAACTGCATGCCTTCTTCTCCAGCTAGAGATCGTCAAGCTTCGCATGTCAGCTGCACCCCCACGATGGCAGAGGATGCACCGAAATGCTGTTACCTGCTCCGATGAGGGAGTACTCTACCGATGGCTAGCTATGGCACCTACCTCTCTATCTTGGGAGGTGTACCACCGGACAGGTGGTAACTGCAACTTACATCAAATTAAGAAGAAATATGAACATGTACCCAAATAATTGTTGTGATTGAAAATTATCGTATTGATGTATGTTACAGCATTTAAGGTCATTCCAAAAACAGCAATTCATCAATGTATTATACAGTTTGGAGATATATCTTTGAAAAGCCATACAGTGCATAGGAACGAACAAGCAGAAATTGAGAACACGGTACTTCTTGAACTTGAAATGCGAGATGTAGTCCCGAAAACAGAAATAATACTTAGAAAGCTAAAAGGTGGTGACATCCCTCCTAAAACTGCAGCACTTTGGAGTTAGACCCAAATAAGATAGAAAAGCAGACGCATGGATCCCATTCAACTTCAATTCATCATTTTTATGAAGACAATTTCTATTTTTTTATCAAACAAATTAATACCAATCAGACCTGAGTTCCGCAACCTAGCCGGTGACAGTAGTTCAAACATGGGTATACTTATTTCCATGTGAATACAAAAGATCAAGCAGGGAAGGATATGGCATATGTTTCACAGCGCAAAAAAAAAAAAAAAATGACCAACCCCAAGAGGCCAAGATGAGAATGACTATAAATGTTAAGGAAATGCCGGCGCTGGTTTGATTTCGTCTCTGTTCTGCTATCACCACTGATATGTAAATAATCCTTAGTTTTTGTATGAAAACTTCAGATCAAGAAAAAAAAGGTGTACTTGGTGATGCTTGATAGTATTATAATGTCAAGGCACCAGAAAGATTAAAATAACAACTGTCAGAGCATATGTTAAGTAACTGTAATTTTATATATGTGATACACCAAAATCCGTTGATGACATGATTTTAAGGAGACATGTTTGTTAAAGTTACAAACATTGATCACGATCGTATGTTCCATATCTGTTAACCCTCGGTGCTATGTTTAACTGATCAATTAGCATGAGTGACTGTTATATATGGACGTATGGGCAGATATTCTGCCTTTGAATAACCACAAAATTGTGTTAAATAGAAAATAGCAGTGGCTACCTGATTGAATTATTTGCCGATTTCCCACAATTCATTTAAAAGAATATTATGGGTAGTTTTTCTATGGGAAAAAGTGGTTTCAGGTCTCCTACGTCATGCTGCTTTTAGTGATTTTCTACCATAAAATATTGCTTTGTTGATTAGATGTCCTTTACTTATTTAGATTCATTTACAGGTTGGCCTCAAACAAAAACCAAGATTCATGTCCAGCACCACAGCTGCACAAAAACCAAGCATTCCGTTGAAAGAAGTGAGAAAAAAAAATACAATTCCCCAGTCAACTATCACAGGGTAATTTACATCATATTCTCTGCAACACGAAATGAATCTGGGAGCTCAGACAACATCCAATCAACATGTTTGAGCAATCAAACCTGAGAGGAGAGGTCGTTGACGGTGAAGATGGCGGCGGCGGCGGGCGACGCTGTGTTGGACTCGGCGACGAAGACTGAATGGCGGCGGATCGACGGCGACTTAATTGTGAAGGCAGCGGCTAGACGCAGAGCCGATGCAACAGTGGTGCTCGCTCCAACGACGGCTGTGCGCGGCGAAGGGGACTCAGCCACGAAGACTGGATGCTGGCGGCGGATCGACGGCGACTTGCAGGGCGGTGGCAGGGAAGAAAACCAGAAGATGATGGAGGCGTGGATGCGGGTATCGGCATTGGCGGCGAGGAGCACAAAGGCAAGGTCGGCGTCGGCGACGGGAGGGCTTCGTGCGGCTGGGATCGGTCAAGGGCGAGCCGGCGTGATGGAGACCGTGAGGCTCGCAGCGATGGAGACCGGGAGCCGGGGCTGAGACGGTGGCAATGTGGGCGCCGGCGGTGGAGGCGTGGTGCGGCACGGCGATGGGGCATGGCGCGAGGTTGGATGCGGACGAAGACGGCGCCGTTTTTTTTCTAGCTGAATGCGGATCGCGACCCGGAGGAGTCGCGCGATGGTGGTGCAGAGGAGGAGCGCGATGGGATCGCTTCTACAATGTCCGATTTTCTGATCCACGGTTAATAGATCGCAGGTATACGTTGGATCGTGTGTCTACGTTAGCTTAACCATCACCACTACGGATTTTTTTAAGTAAGTAGAGATGAAGAAAATGGATCATGAGGACAGCCTCGACAGGGACAGTATCCTGTGTCTTCTACAAAATATCAATTGTAATACAGGATCACAGGATCGTTGTTGATCCCATTTTACCGGCCATATTAATTTTTGAAGTCTATGTTTTACTCTCAATTTTTTTTGATGCAACATATATGGTTTTTTTTATTTTTATATGGATCTGCAGTATGTCATCATTAAGCTGAAAATTTTGGATTGCTAGACTGTTGATATACATTATTATTAGCTAAGGGAGCAGTTAGAACTTAACAGGTCATTATCAAATTATCGATTTCATTCGAGGCCAGCAGCTAGAACATGCTATTCAACATGAGCAATTTCCCATAAGATGAAAATGGCTCCTGTTTTCTGTTTTGCGGATAAAATAATTTAAGACTCTTACTGCAAAGATGATGGTGATAGATTTTATTTGGAGAAAAAGAAAATTGCTTGGAATAGGTACACATCCCAGAACCGAATCTTGGCTGGGTCGGTTGAACCAAGTATTTGCCCAACCCATGCCTGGCCCGGTTCTGTCATCCTTCGCCGTGTGGTCAGGTTTGCACGTCTCCTCCCTTATCCTCCCCTGGTTGTGAGTTAATGTTATTCGGTTTCCTCAGCGGAACCGAATTCCTCCCCCCTTTCTGTTACTACAATGACCGAAATAGACAATAAACATGGACAACCCGCGAAAACCATAGAGTACATCTGCTCAACAACCGCCGTGTAATGGGCTTAAGTGGACCGCACGGGCAGCACTTGGATGGGAGCGTGTATACATCGTATGGGATTCTTGCCCATTTGATCTATATTGAGATTTTGCAGCCCCATTCTCGCTCGAACCTGTTCTGTAATCTCGGATCCTTGACTAGAGGATTTTTCATGTAATAGGTGATGAGCATGCACTCATGGCGTCTCAACTCTCACGCTTTGATTAGGAAGATGGCGTTCTCTCCCTGTGAGCTTAGTGGGTTGGGTTGGCAAGGTAGTACAAACGTCTTACATGTAGTTGGCATGGTGAAATGGTTTTTGGCCACAACATGTGTTGTTTATTCTTTTTAATGCACATTGATAACATACTGTTATCACTAGTAAAAAATGATTTTTCTGGACGCCGACCCCGGTAGATTCCAGACGGACCGGGCGACCACCATCCCACCCGGTAAGTGGCGCCGTCTAGAAAAACCAGGCGACTGGCGCCGGACTGTCGCCCGCACAGGGAAATGCATTATCCCGTGTGAGCATCTTAATCCGACCGCATGGGATAATCCTCATTATCCCGTACGGTCGACTAAAGAGCACCATACGGGAAAATCAATTTTCACGTGCGGGCCTCTTAAGTGGACCGCACGGAAAAATACCTCTCCGTCTTTTCCCTCTCACCCACTTCAAATTTTTCACATCATCTCTCTTCCTTTTCCCTCTCACCCACTTCAAATTTTTCACATCCTCTCTCTTCCTTTTCCCTTTTGTTCTCCCTCACTCACTCCTCTCTCTCTCTGCCTCTTTCGTCTCCTCCCCTCCCCACCGAGCACACGGGGTGTCGCCGCCACCACCGACTGCAAGGGAGGCAGTGCGGTGGCTGCTGGCAGAGGTGTCGTGGCGGCGACGGCGAACGGTTGCGGCGGAGGCCGGGAGTGGCGGCGGCACGACGACGGCGACGACAAGGACGATGGCGACCATGAGTGGAGGCGGCGCGACGACAGGAGCAGCGGCGGCGCGGCGACGGCAACGACAAGGACGATGGCGACCACGAGCGACGGCGGCGCGACCACGGTGACCATGAGTCGATTTTATTTTTTTTTGTTTTTTTTCGTGCGGGTGGTATAATTTGATGGCATAGGATAATCGATTATCCCGTGCGGTCGACTTAACACGACCGCAGGAATAATCGATTATCCCGTGCGGTTGGGCTGCCCGCACGCGAACGGGCGCTACCTCCGCACGGAAAATTGGATTTTGACCGCACAGAAAAATGAATTATGTAGTAGTGTATGTTGAGTGAATTCGCTAGTTCCACTCATTTCGGACATGCCATGAAATACACACTACGCACTCCCTCTCGTCATTTTTTTTTATAGTTAGAAGTACTAAATTAACTACAAGTATACACAGTCACGCAGCTTATACATCGAAACTGATTAGGGTCGGGCGCCCGATCCAACCAATACAAATCAGACGCACTCCCACCACCTACACAGCATGCAACATTCACTACCAATGATTTTTTTATTATGATTTTATTCTCTTCAACTTAGTACATCCAGCAAATTCATCTTTCTAATTATTCTTTCCCATGTGCTCCTAGCGCATGTTTATACTCCTTTATTTCACAACTTCAAATGATTTTTTTTATAAATTATTTATCTAATCTGAGATCCGATTATACCGTTGTATTCATTACAATTAAATCTTCACAATAAGATTTTACTCGACTATATTCTGATGAGTTTTTATTGAATTTTTTAACGTTTCATTAGGTCATTTAGAATGTTGCATATTGTGTACTCGTGATGTTTCACTATGTAAATGTTGCAGTGGATTTTGATATTATGGAACACGCCGTTGCCACAAATCACCCACATATTTTAGAAACCCTCTATTAAGGGAATTCGTTTTATTTTTTTGTTCCACCAAAAATGTTTCACCTAGTGTACTCACAATGTTTCACTACGTATAGATCTAATGTTGCAGTGAACGAAACATTCTTTTGCAACAAATCACCCACATATTTTGGAAACCCTCTATTAAGGGAATTTGTTTTATTTTTTTGTTCCACCAAAAATGTTTCACCTAGTGTACTCACAATGTTTCACTATGTATAGATCTAATGTTGCAGTGAACTGAAACATTCTTTCGCTATTTGCTGAAACATTATTTTTATATAAGGTGAAACAACACCCAATTTAAACGATTGAAACATTTTCGATCTACTTAGTGAAACAATTCCGATATACTTGGTGGAACATCGTGCAACATTTAAAAAAAAATTCAATAATAAGCTAAAATTTTTTTTCGTCGGAATATATCCATGTGTGGACTTGTTTTGAAGATTTAATTGCAACGAATTTAATGGTGTAATCGGATCATGATTTGGATAAATAATTTAAGAGAAAAAATAGTTTAAAGTAATTTTGCACAAATACGCACGATTTTTGCAGAATTGGATCGGACGACCGATCCCTAGTCTCCTCCCTTGTACATAGGCAAATCCATACGCAGATATGCAAAAATGCTTGATCTTAGAACCCACTGTGAGTGTTACTACCAATCTGCTGGAGTGGCTCAGTTGCTCATGAGACTAAAAAATTAATTTGAACAACTAAACAAGAGGAATTTGTTCGGGACAAAAAAATACAAGCTGCCGGCTGTCGCTAATGATTTGTATTAATTGATGCTATATGGGCCAGAACATCAGGCATGGCCCAGCTATCAGACAGACAAGTGCAGGCCCGGCCGATCCGCTAATTAATCCGCTGTGCGTTGGACTTGAGTTTAGCGACAGCCTACCTAGGGCAACGCCGCCACCGACACAGTCACATTCACCTGCGTGTTCCGGACTCTGCGCTCCCCTTGGATATGGACGCGACCGATCCGCCGCCGCCGCCGCCGCCGCTCACCAGGAAGAGGGGAAGGGAGGCGAGGAAGAGCAAGGAAGCAGCGCCACCACGCGAGCCGAGAAGGGCTCGCAGTCGCAGCCATGTTCCACCGCCGCCTGGAGCCGGAGACGGACGGGGAGGAGACGGCGAGGAGGACGTCGGCTTCGATCTCATCAGCCGCCTCCCCGACGCCGTCCTCGGCGACATCATCTCGCGCCTTCCCACCAAGGACGGCGGGAAGACCAGAGCCCTGTCCAAACGGTGGCGCCCCGTCTGGCGCACCGCGCCGCTCAACCTCGACGCCGGTGATCTCGCCCCCGACGCCAACGGGGCGGCGCTGGCCGTCCTCGTCACCCAGATACTCCTCGTTCACGCGGGGCCCGTACGCCGCTTCTGCATCCCCGCGCAGCAGATCCACGAGCGCCCCGCCATGGTCGAAGGCTGGCTCGGATCGCGGAGATTCAAAAACCTGGAGGAGCTCGAGTTCACCGTCCCGGAAGACCCCTTCTACGGGAGATCATTCTTGCTGCTCCCGCCCCCGCCGTCCACCTTCCGCTTCTCGGCCACCCTCCGTGTCGCCGCCATTAGCCAATGCAGCCTCCCAGACTGCACAGCCACCCTCGCGCTTCGGTTCCCGCAGCTCAGGCTGCTCTCCCTCCAGGAAGTCATCGTCTCCGAGCATTCTCTCCATAGCATCATCGCCGGCTGCCCTGCACTGGAGGGGTTGCTGCTCAAACGTTCCTTCGGATTCCGATGCCTCCGCATCAATTCCCCTACCATTAGAAGCGTCGCCTTCCATTCCCCATGCTGTGGAGATCACTGTGTATGGAAGGTGGGTTTCCACTTGGAAGAGGTGGTCATCGAGGATGCTCCATGTCTTGAAAGGTTGATCCATATTGAACGTGCAATGGGATTGGGCGTTAATGTAACCGTGATCGCGGCGCCCAAACTGGAGGCCTGCGTCCTAGACGACCTTGATGACGGCTATTACCGACTCGATTTCGGCAAGGTGGTTTTTAAGGTATATAGATGTGGCTTCCCCTTATCCCTACATACTCCCAGCAATCTATAGGAATTGATTACAAGCTGCATTGGACATTAATTTCTATGTGCATATATGATATATCCTTCATGTTGTTGATCTATATGTTGTGTTAGAACATAGCTATGTACATCAAGTTTCAAGGCCAGGTCTTAATCCATTCTCTAAAAAAATATATTATCCTAGACATGTCTCTGGATAAATATGCTATTAATTTTACTCGGATAACATTGATGAACATATCCTAATTCGTTCCGGAAGTCACTGTTCTGGAGTCTATGGCATAGAAACTATACTGTCTCCGAGTCACTAGCAAGCTATAACAATAATATGATATGTTCATGGTATTTTTTGGGGTTCCTTTCTTTTTCTTTTTAGGTCTGTGTGCAACCTTTTTAGATGCAAAGGCCAGATATAATTTCATTACTTCATGAAATATCCATTATCTAGAAAATATGGTCAATCTATATACATTATTTACAAATGTCCTAATGCCATGTTCCATAATTAATATAGGGATTTGCGGTTATTAACTACACAACACCAGTGTCGAGCATCAAGATTTTAGCCCTCATCAGGGATAATCTCAGGTTGGACAGGGTTATCGAGTTAATGAGATGCTTTCAGTGCTTGGAGAAATTGTACATCACGGTGAAATATTTTTTCTGTTGATGTATTGTGTTATTATACTTATTTTGTTAGCTTACATAACGAGAAGATATTTAATCTGAAGTTCTTGCATTATCCTCCCTTTTCTTTTTTCAGGCATCCCATTATGGGGCAACTTATTGCTGGCGCCGCAAACATTGGAGAAAACTCAAAAGCCTTGACATATGTCTGAAGACATTAGTGCTGGATAATTATCGTGGCTTGAAATCACAAATTAACTTTGCCACATTCTTCATAAGGAATGCGACTAAGCTTGAGAATATGATATTTACAGGTGGTCGTAGCAATGGTAACGCATATTTTATTGCACGACAGCAAAAGCTGCTGGAGTTTGAGAAAAGGGCTTCAAAAACTGCTCACTTTCATTTTACAACCAAGAAATGCTATTATGATTGGGTGCATATCAAGGATGTCCATGATTTGTCTATTGCTGATCCTTTTGAATGTACCTGTTGAGACTGATGAGTAGAATTATTGTAAGATGGTTCAACTGGGAAAGAGGACTTTGGAGAGTTGCTCGTTTTGAATTTAAGACTGATGGATACTGTCACTGAGCTGAAAATCTATATTGATCATGTTGTAGATTTGCCTTAATTGCTGTACATACCTTTGGATGTTGTTGAAACAAGGTTTGATGTATTGAGCTGTTGTTTCATTCAGATACCTTTGAATATTGTTGAAAAAGATTGATGTATTGAGCAGTTGTTTCGCTCAGATACTACTTTTTTTATTTTTTTACCAATTTCTGTTGTAATAATACTTGTTAAAAAAATTGTTGTCAATGGCAGTTTAGCTGTCATGCATATTGAATTCTATGTTCTGTCCTCAATCTTTTTTTATACAATACGCATCCTTATTATTTTTATATGGAACCACTACCACAGCAAAGCTCATCACTGCTGATTCACTTCGTTTTCCAGTGAACACAAGTAAACCAGCAGTAGGGCCACCCATATCTTTGTTGGTTCAGGGCTTGAACCGATAGTGTTACATATCATATTATTATTTTTTTAGCAGTGAAGTATGTAGAGTGAGTGCCTGTGATTCGTCGGTATTTTCTGTGACAATGTCGAGGTGGCTGCAATGGCTTCCATGGCACAGTTGGTGAGGTGGAAATGGCAGCCATGACGAATTATGCGGCTGTCGACGAGGCGGGTGCCATGGATTTTCCAGCAGTGGTTAGTGAGCGAGATGGTGCCTTGTTTTCTAGCAACAGTCGATGCAGAAGCCACTTTGTTTTCTCCAGCAGCAGTCAGCGAGGTTGCCGCATCAAATCCCATTTTTTTTTCTAGTCTGATTTAAGGCTGTGCTCTTGTTGTGCATTAGGGATTTTGTGGTAGGCGGGATAGATCAGATAGGATATCATTTTTGCTAGGGGAGGGGGGGTGGACATGATCTAATTTGTGGCTTTGTGCTAGGGTAACATGTTGTATGTTTCAGTACTCTTCTGTTAGTACGCTAATGGTTCTAGAAATAGCATTTTCGACTCCTGTTAATAGGAAATAATATTGCTCTAGTTATTCCGTTATAAATATGTTATAGTTCTGTTTTATAACTCTACAAAAGTAGCACGGAGGATGATGAATGATCTGTCTATGTTTTGTCTACCTAGCATTCTATTTCAACTGTACCGTGGACTATAGATTTTTTTAAGTGAAGCAACATTCTATGAAGAGACTGTTTCTTAACAATGGGAATCATTTCACTAATAAATGAAATTGCCGCCTCTACTTCCATAAGAGATTTCATTTATTAATGCCATCATTCATTTATTAATGCTATCCATGGATGGCTGAATCCATGGCATTTCCCACATGGATGGAGGCACTATCCTATAAAGTCGGAAATCGTGCATCCGCTAGTGGAAGCTATGATAGCGATGGGTCGATGTGCACCTGGCTCCTTAGTCACCGACCGATCTCGGTCATCTTGTTGCCATAGAGAAGAGTCAACGACAGCTATGACCAGCCAAGCCCGGATCTGATTCTCTTTCCGCCACACTCGGAGATCGAGACCACGATGAAGGTGAACGACGGCAAAAATGACATCGATTTGCATCCATCAGTCCTACGCCTGGATGGAGAGAAAACTATTGGGTGGAGTCGACGAAGCCCTGTCACTGCCTCAGCCCTGAATATTAGCTAGGGTTTGGGGGACCTCTAGAATCGCCTCGCAGGAGGCAACCCATGAGGATATGAAGAGTTTGTAACAAACAAATTGTGAACTTTGCTAATAGAATTGCAAAACACTAGCTCTTGGTCTTCTTATTATATTTTGTTCCTTGCGAAAAAATTTCATACTACATGCGTGCCCAAACACATAAATGCATGCACGGAGCATGTAATACACATGGATGATATCCTAACTGGCGCTGCATATATTAGTTGCCTGGTCGGCCGAAAGAAATGCCGACCAAATTTCATTATGATTGGGGAGTGTTCAAATTTACAAGTTTTCAAAAACCAACAAGAGGCTGTCAGGAACCAAATGGAGATTGCTAAAGAAACAACATCCCAAAACAAGAAAAAAAGGAGTTATGGCTTGGCTTTACTCTCTCAAACCCTTAAGAACCCCAGCTTCCTTCCAGATGATGACCTCCTCCTTGATGGCACCAAAGAGCAAGCCAACAGATTTCTCCCGGTTGTGGAACACACGTGCATTCGTCTCCTTCCACACATCATCCAGCACACAAAGAGAACCAAGGTATCGAAGGCTTCCCTGTAGTGCGTCCAAAAACTCAGTCGCACCCTTAGCTACAAATCCCCCCGGTCCAAACCCGACTCATCTGGTAGTTGGAAGACTGAGGCGATCCATCCCCTGATCATCCTCCAGACTGATCATCTTGTTGCGTAGCTAGGGGCAAGTTACAAACAAGTGGTTGCAGCTTTAATTTCGTCATGTGACAAATATAATTAACTTGCAAGTATGTTGGTGCGACGCCATCCTCTAATGCTGAGATTGTCTGCAGTGAGGCAAGCATATATTAGTTTGGTTGTAAGCTGTAAGGATTGGTTACAACAAGGGAATGCCTTTGTTTTTTTCTTTTCGTTCGTGCAGCATGACCATCACTTGGGATGTTTAGGGACTTATATATATGGTACTTCTTGTGTATCCTTGCATGCATCTCTTGTTGATATGTGTCTACAGCCTTGCCCTCGTAATATATATCTGCAAACATAAGCTAGCGTATGCTCATACAAATTTTGATTTCTATTAGTCATTCATTTATTTGTTTTCAAAAGATGTGTTCCGCTGCAGAATGGCTGCATATATTACGGCAGGTGGGAGATTAACGAAATACTCCCTCCATCCCAAAATATTTGACGCCGTTGACTTTTTTAAATATGTTTGACCGTTCGTTTTATTCAAAAAATTTAAGTAATTATGAATTCTTTTCCTATCATTTGATTTATTGTTAAATATACTTTTATGTATACATACAGTTTTACATATTTCACAAAAATTTTTGAATAAGACGAACGGTCAAACATGTTTTAAAAAGTCAACGGCGTCAAACATTCAGGGAAAGAGGTAGTATTATTGCAGCCAGATTATTCTATGTTGCTATGTTCCTGAAAATGTTGCTGTGAACATTATGTGAACTACAGAACAGTTTATTGGCTCCTATACCCGTTCTCTTCACTTTGATGCTTCTGAAATTGCTGAATTTCTACATCCCTGTAATGCCCATCCATTTTGAACTCTGAATTTCAGCTTCTCTGAATATGTGATGTGTTTGTTGAAGCTTTAACTAGTAACGTATTTTATTATATATATAAGAATCTCAAAATTGAATTTGATTGAATGAGCGATGTACATGTGTTCTTGCAGCTAGTTTTTTTTTTTTGAACGGAAAACAGCACAGGTGTGCCTTTTCATTGAATAGAGTAGGAGAAAATACAACCCCTAAAGGTAATAAAGGGAACTATGCAGCTAGTATTTTTTTTAAACAACTTGCAGCTAGTAATAGTTGCATTTTTCCCTCGGGGCTGTTCAATGCTCGGCTCACTGCTCATTATTACAGTTATCACATTATTTCACTACTAGAAAAAAAGGTTTTTCATATCGGCCATTTATATGTCCGCCACCCTCCTCGACCTCCTCTCCACCACGGCTGCATGCTGCCACGCCTCCTCCGACCTCCTCATGTCCAGGTAAGCCGCCGCCACTCATACATCCTTTTGTCCTGGATGCTGCAAACTGGGGGTAATTGAAATGGGATGAACCCAAAACAGTTCTGAAAACCAAACAGAGATATCTCCTGTTACTGAAATTTGAATTGACTATAGTACAAATTTTGTACAGAATTTGATAATAAGTTGTGCTGCCTTATCCAAATGTTTGATGAAATGCCTGGGACCTTGATGAGCATGCAAGCCTGTTTTGGTGAAATGCCTGGGACCTTGATGAGTATGCTGTTGCCTCTGAATTTTGGGGATATTTTAGACATTTGGCAGAATGAGTTCATGGCATGGATGATCTTGGATTATGGGGATATAAATTGAGTTTTGGGAGTGACAGAAATTGGACAAACTGGATGGATTTGCTGTATGTTTAAGAGGTGAAAAATGGATTCTGCAAATGCAGTGATGCATAAACTCTGTTATTGCTTTATTTTATGTCAATCTAGCTGTTATTGCACATGTTGATTTTTTTTATGAAAATGGTGAAAACCAAACAGAGATATCTCCTGTTCTGAAATCTGATATGTTGTATATGAAATCTGATATACATTGACATGGATTCACATTCTAATTTACTACATGAAAAAATGAATGAATTTTTGCTGTAGACTTTGTGCAGTTGGTCCATAAGTAATATAAATCCTCTGACATTTTTTTTCTGAAATCTGAGTTTGTAGATACATGCCTGGATATAAATTCTCTAAAATGCTCTGACATTTTTGCTGTAGACTTTGGCTGTAATATAAATTCTCTAAAATTTTGTCAAGTCTTGATTCTGAAATTGCTGTGATAAATTCTTCTTTTATAGGAAGTACAGTACTGAATTGTGGGTTGTACAATACTTAAATTCTGAAATCAGCCCTAGTATATTTTTGAATTAATCCATGAGTTGTTTTGAAGAGCTGTAGCTGTACAATCTGACCTACATAGTAAAAAATTGCTCTACTCTTGATTTAGACCGTATGCTCTGATACAGATGATCTAATATACTGCCTACACATGCATATAAGTTCAGAAACTGCTGTAGATTGTTCTGAAATATGAGACTGTAGTAGTGCTTGTTCTGAAATTGGGTTTTCAATATAGTATAAATTTGGTTTTCAATTTTTGACATTTCCCAGAACAATGGCTGTAGTATAAATTGTCTGAAATGGATATTTTCACTTCTCTGAAATGGCTGTAGCACTGAAATCTGAATACTAGCACTTGTTCTGAGTTCTCTGAAATCTGAATTCGTACTACCACTTGTTCTGAAATTTGAAACTTTATAGTACTTGTTCTAAATTTGCAGATGCAAAAGGATATAAACAACATATATAGCCTACTCGATTGGGATTAACATGTTATTGCTGGCTGTTATAGCTCATCAGTTAGACTTTTTTTTTTCTTGAACTAGGGCTGGAAGCCTCCATTTCCATTAACAGAAATGACAAAGGTCTCTACAAAAGTCTTACAGCAGAAAACAGTAAAAGGAGAGATCGAAATAGAACTAAGACTGTTCAGAACAGCCTAAACATCTACCCCGAGCCAGGGACAACTTTTTTAGTAACAAAAGACTGCTAACAAAAGATCGGAAGACAGCAAGAACAGAAAGGCCATGCTACACCATCTT